CACACACACACACACACACACACACTCACACACACTCGCACGCATTTAACACACACAAACACACACTCAAACTCGCACACACTCGCACACACACACACACACACACACACACACAACACACACACACACGCGCACACACTTACGTACGTACACACTCACACACTCACACACTCACGTACACACAAGAAAACGCTCACACAAGAGAACACACACACAAACACACACACACACACACACACACTCACACACACACACACACACATACAGAGTCACAATTTTCCTCGATGCCTCCGCTATGCCTGTTTAGTCTCCGCTTTCTGCTCTCCCCAGAAAGATTTTAGACGACTTGCCTTGATTTAGAGTAATGGGGGTGGCGGGTACTTTGGTGTGGTTTGCTCCTGCTTTCATGTTATCAAATATCTTCCGGGTATCGTCATTATCTCTCCTTTCTTTTCCTTGTGTTCTTTTTCTCTCATCGAAACTCTTTTTTTCGATAATTGTGTGGCCTATCTGTATTGCAAGTTCCGTGAAACCCTTACCAAAAAGAAAGAAAGAAACTGAAATGAAAACCATTGTGAGGCAGCGTAGTGGAATCAGGCTCTCGTCAATTTTTGAGCGTGTAGAGTTATGGTTATCATCTTAAAGCTTGTTCACTTGTCTTTATTTGGATGAAAAGAATATCTATTTATCTTGAATACAAGTCGAGATATTTGCGAATGAAGGAGGTGGGGGTCACCTGTTTTCAGAGGTAAAATTAGTGAGAAAATGGCCGTCAAAGATTAGTTATTTCCTTAGAGTAAGAGCCCACGGTAACTGAAAATTTACATTTTTTGTGCCTTTAATCAACGTTTTTTCAGAAAAATCCACTCAGAAATGAGTTTTTTCATGGGCATGAAAGGTGTTGAGCCAAAAAACACAAATATTATAAAAATCCACAAACCTGCGGAAAAATGCAAGTTTCTTCACTTTGGTTATTTTGACGAAAGCCTGATTCCACCACGCTGCCCCACATTTTACAGTGTACCATGATAATATTTATAACAACCGGAGACAGTTCTACATAACTGTTATGCTGCTCACCTTGCAGTAAAAAAAGCGTGAGTTCAGTTTCGTTTCCAGACAAAGAACCCATAATATTTTTTTTTCTTCTGTACAACCGTCAATGGTGTAATAGTGGTCCCCAGGCTCTTCGCCTTTGCACGCAGAAGACCAGAGTTCGATTCCCCTTTGGGGAGAAATCTTATCGAGCACTTCCGTCTTTCTGCTGGGACATCGCATCTTTTTTGTCTGGATTGGCCCTAACTGGCGAGCTCGAAGCAGCGACTTCCTAAATATGTAAATTGTGTCAACGGGAGTGTATACATATTATATTA